AAAAACTGACATGGCTGAAACACTGTACCCTTTCCTTGAGACCTGTAAAATGAAATAAGCTGTCTGAACCTAATTTGACACTGACCATTGTCTTCCTCCTCTTCCTCATCACTATCCTCCTCCTCCTCCAACATGTCATCCTCCCTCTCCATCTGCCAAGCAAGCTTGCTCTCAATTATCTTCTCTTCTATCTGTCCCATGATCATCTGTGATAACGACATTTCTGGATCAGCTGACCTCTCGTTCTTCTCCTCAGGGTCCAGGAATTGTCCGATGTGTTGTTCATACAACAGTGGGTCTCTCTGTCTCATCTCCTCCTCACTGAAGTAGGAGCCATCCTGCAGCATTCTCTGCATGGCTTCATACCTCCTGTTCTTCACCCCAGTCTTTTTCTTAGCATTGTCCAACCTTTTTTTTACCTCCTTCATGTAAAAGTCCAGCTCATAACTGTTCTGCATCCTCTGGAAATACTCCAGATCCTCCTCTGCCAGGTACTTCCAGAACCTCTCCATGAAAGTCAGGTGAGATTTCTCCAGGATGCCCCTCACAATGTCCATCTTCTGCTGAGTGGTGAGGTCTGGCTCGTCACGTGACTGGTTCTTGATCCGTGCCTCGCTCTCTGCGACCCTCCTGATCATGTGTTCCACCAGGGGGTCTGCTCCACTGGGGAGACACGCACCTGAGCCTGCTGTGGCTCCCTGGGCTTCTAATGGTCCCACTTCCATGTCTGGGGGAATACCACATCAGTGTTACCACAGGCAATAATTGTGTTAAACTAAATCTTAGTTTTAATAATGCTCCTTGGACACAAGAAGAATTCACATGAAATTCTTTTTATGACAGCCCATCTCTAAGTAGTACAGTGTATGAAGACATCAATGAATTTGTAAGAACAGCACATTATCGAAGGACTGCTGAGGTGTGTGTGTGAACCAACTCGAGTTGTGTTGATCATGTCAAAACGGTTAAACCTAATTTCAAATCACAAAAAAAAACCTTTATGGCCCATGTGCTGTTCTACGGTTCACCAAATCAAACCAGTGTTAAGGGAACACCATATTTCATGCACGTAAGCTTTCACAACTGATATATTCCTCCACAACAACCTGCATCTCGACCAAGTTCGTCCGCCGCCGCCATGTTGAACACGCTGACCTTTGACATGTGATGACCTCTATTGACCTTACGTAAGCAGGAAGTCGACTCGAGCTCACTGAGGAGGTATGACTGGGTCTAAAATATGGTAGGACGGCCACGAAAAACGGCCACGACGCGATTGGTCAATTTCTCAGCAAGCTACAAAACCTCCACGCTGCTATTGGTCGGGGTACCAGCTGCTGCAGTAAGGAATAGCTAGCGGTGGGGAGGGCTGCCGGCGTTTATCCACAGCTTTCAGGGGCAAAAAAACGTCAACCTTTACGGCTATAATCACTCCACTTGGGTGGCTCTTACCTATGGCGCACAGATAAGCCACAAACAGTCATTTGTGCGGCTCTTAGCTCTGGAAACCTTACAGGTATTAAATGAGTGCGTGAGGGACTTGAGTCTAGATAACGTTAACCAGTAAAACGCCGTACATTTTTTGTACGGGAAATACTTTCCATGGGCCTTTCATAATGTAGGGACCAGGTAAGCAGGTGATATATTTGGCGTGGCCCTTGAATCTGAGGAGCAGGTAAGGCACCGTACAGGTGATATTGGCGTGGCCCTTTCATCTGGGGAGCAGGTAAGGTACCATACAGGTAATATTTGTGTGGCCCTTTCATCTGGGGACCAGATAAGGCACCGTATAGGTGATATTGGCGTGGCCCTTTCATCTAGGGAGCAGGTAAGGCACCGTACAGGTGATATTGGCGTGGCCCTTTCATCTAGGGACCAGGTTAGGAACCATACAGGTAATATTTGCGTGGCCCTTTCATCTGGGAACCAGATAAGGCACCGTACAGGTGATATTTGCGTGGCCTGTTCATCTGGGGAGCAGGTAAGGCACCGTACAGGTGATATTTGTGTGGCCCTTTCATCTGGGGACTAGGTAAGGCACCGTATAGGTGATATTGGCGTGGCCCTTTCATTTTTCAACCAAGTAAGGCACCGTACAGGTGAAATTGACGTGGCTCTTTCATCTGAGGAGCAGGTAAGGCACCATATTAGTTATAATTTGTGTGACCCTTTTATGTAGCAACTAGTTAAGGTACCGGAAAGTAATATTTGTGTGACTCTTAGGGACCTTTGATTATTTGGTTCTTTGGCCCTTTGAAGACGAGAAGCTGTCTAGAATGGTTCGAAGTACTGACTTTAACAGTGTTAGGGTTAGTTTATAGCAACAACATGAATGGTGAAGTCTGTTAGGATTTTACTCCAAAAGTAGAATAACTGGAAGTGGATTCTAGTAACAAAATGTAGAGCTAAGATCCGGTATGTGCTTTCTTGATTATAATAATAATAATAATAATAATAGATGGTTTATTGAAAGTAATTTGCAGCCACCGGGCTGAATTGCATACCTTGTACAATTGCTAAAAAATCTTAAATTACAAACTAACAGTACTCATTGAAACTCAATATAGAAACTCATTAACACAATATAGAAACTCATATTACTCATATTACTCATCTCATTACTAA